ACTGACACAAAATGTAATACTGACACAAAATGTAATACTGACACAAAATGTAATACTGATACAAAATGTAATAAAAACTGACACAAAATGTAATAAACTCAAAGACCAAAAAATCTGACTAGTAATCAACATCCTACAATAAGGTCACTCTAGAATGACATCGCTCTTTAAGCTCCTATGCTTTTTGAGTTTGAGTTATTATTTTATTTTCTTCTTGAAGTAAAAAAGAGAAAACCACCTCGAATAAATACGGTATATCCATTAATCAAACTACAACGTGTTTAAAACAAAGTTGTTTGTTCACTCACTTACTCACTTACTTGCTCACTTCCTTACTCACTTACTTATTTATTATAGAAATAATGATAAGTTATAGTGCTTGGGAACGAGGTTATTCCGGGCGAAAGCCCTTAGAATTAAATTCGGAAAAATTAATTTCCGACCTCGCTGGGAATTGAACCCACGACCTTCGGAATTGTACTACCGATGCTCTACCAGCTGAGCTAGAGGTGAGACTGAGAACAGGTCGGGGTGAAATAGATGTTAGGTCGCGGTAATTATGATGCAAAGATGAGAATATGTGGACCGCACTAACTTATTATTATCTCTATATCTTCATGTATTTCTTACTACGCGGTCCATATATTCTCATACTTATTTATTATAATGCTTATTTATTCCTATTATTTTGTGTTAGCAACTTTATAACATTTTGTGTCAGGTTTTGATAAATTTTCTGTCAGTATTACATTTTATGTCAGTTTTTATTACATTTTGTGTCGGTATTACATTTTGTGCGAGTTATTACATTTTGTGGCGTAACATACACCAACACCGAATCAACCCCATCCCCTCTGCCACACTCCTCCCCTAAGACATTTTCTTTTAAAGACATAGTATGAGGTGAAATAACTGCCTGCCCAATCCGAATTTAGAGGCACATTAGCTGTCTCATTGAAGCTGTTAACATGCATGCGCCCACAACCAACCATCCCACTCTCCCTATTACAGAAAAGCCCATTGAAATTTCATTGATAGAAATTTAGAATTATGACACAAGGAATTGGCTTACCCGTACTTCACAGGCACCTCCCCAGTAGGCACGCGGCCTGAACGTAAAACCTCTGGTAGATTAGAATCAGCTATGCAAAGGTGCAAAGAGAGGAATTCTTCATGTTTTTTATCATCTCCATTAGGATACAATATCAGATACCATTTGTAGCCACACAACCTGAAGGAAGGACTCTTGAAGCAAGAACCTGTTGGGTGCTTCCGTGTTAAGATGTGATACTCGTGTATCACCCATGTGTAGGTACTCAAAACTTCCTGTGGATATAAAAAGACCATTGATGTGTATTCATTTTTTTTTCTCTCTCTCTCTCACTCTCTCGTCTTTATCATCATCATCGTTTATAAATTGAAATGACCAACGGGAGTTTATAAGTAATTTACACAATTATGAAGAAAATATATTACAAATAGTTTAATTACATCACGATATTAGTCTTACATTAACCCTGATAGCAAGACAATTCAAAAGATCCGGAAGCCACGGGCTTATATTTTTGAACTGTTTTGGATTGCATTTAGCTATACTGATAACAAAATCAATTAATCAACTAAGAATTATAAGATATAAATTAGATGATTTTGCATATAAGAAATAAACTTTTAGGGCCTGAATGAATTCAGAAAAATTCCCTTTCCTTGTTAACGTGAATTCGTCTCATGACAAACCTGCTAATCCACGGTATATAGAGCTCCCCTTAAACCTTATGTTGAAATGAAATGACAACTTGGTAATAAGAAAGTAGCATATTATATAAAAACATAGAGTATACACCTTTTAACCGCATACTCAAAAACGCATTTATAAATTAATTAATAAGTTTTCGAACCCTTTGGAGCAACCATAAACGTTACATACATGGACCTTTAAACCCGATACTAATACTATACCCGATCGTGTTTTTCGGCTACAACTCTTTGCTTTAAACCCGACAAAAAAAAAAGTATTTCATTATATTCTTATGTTCCAGACTCAACTATAGGAAATCAAAGCTGGCGCATGCACCGGTTATGCCCTACAATTCGATTCCTGAACTTGGCATCACCTGTTAGTATGAGAACTTGTTGGGTCTCTGCCTTGATTCAAGGTTTTTTGACAAGGTGATCCGGTTTTCCTCCCGCAAAACCTAACACCCTAAATTTTATATCGAGCTGTGATTTAGGCTTTAATTAATAGTCCAGAGGTTTTTTCAGGGTAAAATCGGAGGTTTAATTTGAAGTCAAGATGTACTTATGCAAAATCTAGTTTTAACATTGTTTCGTTTACTAAAATACTTTGGAACAAGGGAACAAAATACAAAAATAGGATTCTTTTATCTCTTAGTGCACGCTTTTTGAATAAGTAAGTATATAAGTATAAACGCCTTAATGTAAATTCATTCAGTCTAGTAACACCGGCTACCGGGTAAGTTATACCGTTTCTAGATTTGTCGCTTTTTTCTTTAGATAGTATCGTTTTGTATCAGAACTATCTCTTGATTTTGAACATGCAAAAATAACAGAAGATGATGTTAAATGATTAAACGATTAAAGTTCTGAAACCGTAGCCGTAAATTATTTTTGTTTATTTCAAAACAATAATTGATTTCCTGCATGAAACAACCCTTGTGGGATGATCTAAGTCAGTCAAAGCAGGGCTAAAAGTATCAACTTATAGATAATTACCTTAGCTTTGCTTAATTCTTCCTCCAGTTCTGTGTTTTTCAATGTGAGAAATGAACATTGTCTCTCAAGTGAAGAGCACTTTTCGGAAAGTTCATCAAGTTGTCTTTTAAGCATTAAGACTTCTTCTTGTTTTACTTGGAAGTGAGCACGTCTTTCATCAAGTAACACGGTCTTCGCTTCTAGTGACGAGTTGAGAGACTCAACTTTTTCTGACAACGTCACATTCTTCTTTTGAATCTGAGTGTTTTGTGCTAACAGAATCAAAATGTGTGAAGACATGTTGTGTTGTAAGTGGTTTTCGAGGTCTTGAAAGGCAAATTGCAATGAACATCCCTGATCTTTAAAAGGACAACCGACTACTCTCATTTTACAGGTGTTGGTTACGTGATTATGCAAATCTTTCCTAAGAAAAAAAAGAGATGAAAATATGTTACCACCCATTCTCATGATTGCGGAGTCTTTGAGCCTACACTATATTCCAAGGTCTTGGTCAGGTGTCAAATTTCAGGAGCATCAATCTCTCATACTGGATATCTAAGCTAGCATAATATCCGAGATCTAGGAGCCCTGATAGTAGGAGCATCCATCCCTTATACTTGATGTTTTAAATAACATATTCCCAGATCAGGAGCCCATTCTTAATAGCATCCATCTTCAATACTGTGTATCTGAGCCAGCATATTTCCAGATATGGGTACCAATGTTGTTAGATAGCGGGATTCCTGTATATACCCGCCTGGCTGCTAAGCGGCGAGAAGGTTGGCCGACGTTTTGTAATCGTTTACTGTTGTTCAAGTTGGACATTATTATGTAATCAAAACGTTCCTAAAACATTACAAATGTAGTAGCACTATCTTCGTATTGAGCTAAACGGTCAAATACGTTGTTTTTAGCTAAAAGGGGATATCTCCTTGCAAGCACAATTCCAAAAGACTTTAAAAGATCAAAATACCAGAGCACTTGCAAAATACCTGGTACGGTATATATGTGTTTTTTTTCGAAGGAGGACTACCAAGTTGACCTTACCTTTTAATCCTTGATGTAACATCGGGTCCTAACAGTCTTTTCTCAATACAGCCGTTAGGACATGTCAGTCTTACTTCAGGACATTCATTTCTCTTGTGATTCGGCAGGTCACGTCTGATCAGAGTCACRCCACAATGCTCATCACACTCTACCAATTTATGGTCGCATATCTTATCATGATCCTCCAGCTCTCTTCTCTGCATGTTGGTGTTGCAGTTCACATT